CCGCCTCCTGGGTTCAGGCAATTCTCCTGCCTCAGCTTCCTGAGTAGCTGGGATTACAGGCACGCACCACCATGCCCAGCTAATTTTTTTTTTTTGTATTTTTAGTAGAGACGGGGTTTCACCGTGTTGACCAGGATGGTCTCGATCTCTTGACCTCGTGATCCACCCGCCTCAGCCTCCCAAAGTGCTGGGATTACAGGCTTGAGCCACCGTGCCCGGCTCACACTTTTCTTGAGGGCGTTATTTGTGTTGTGCTTTTATTCTTGAATTTGAAAGTAAGTACAGTGTAGAGTGCTAATTAATTTCCCCTTAGTGAGGTTGCAATCTAAAGTCTTTTAAAAAAACTAGAAAATATTCTTTCTTTTCTTTCTTTCTTTTTTCTTTCTTTCTCTCTCTTTCTTTCCTTCCTTCCTTAAAAAAAAAAAAAAACTAAAAAATGTGTAGAAATCAGCAGAGCATAGTTTTTTTTTTTTTTTTTTTTTGAGATGGAGTCTTGCTGTCGCCAGGCTGGAGTGCAATGGCACAATCTTGGCTCACTGCAACCTCCGCCTCCTGGGTTCAAGCGATTCTTCTGCCTCAACCTCCCGAGTAGCTGGGACCACAGGCGCGTGCCACCATGCCTGGCTATTTTTTGTATTTTTAGTAGAGACGGGGTTTCACCATGTTGGCCAGGATGGTCTCGATCTCTTGACCTCGTGATCCGCCCACCTCGGCATAGTTCTGTTTTTAAAGCAGCACCTAGTGCATTACGTTAAAAGCAGAACTAACAGTATACTGTGTTATACAGTGTGTTTTCTTTTTGTGCCAGCAAATGTTCTCAGCAGTTGTACTAAGGGAATAATAGCACGTGTGTGGAATATCCGTCATCATATTGTGTAAAATAACGAAAACCCTGCTTGTTCGTAGGACTGGTTGAGTAATTATGATATCTAGGTACAATATTATCGTAAAGCCATTGAGAGTAGGGATGTAGACCTGTATTTATTGACTTGGGAAGATGTCCGTTGCACATTGAATGGAAAAATGTGCATATGAGTGTGCCTAGATGTCTTGCAGGATAGTCACCAAAATAGTAACAGGGTATTGTTGAGTGATGGAATTTTAGGCAACCTTACTTTCTTTTCTCGATTTTGTGCCTACTTTGTTTGCCCCTTACCTCAGTAAGCCGTGCTTTATCATTATTATTAAAGTGCTGCTCTCATAAAGAAGGGAAGCTTACTGGGTGCCTGTGATATTCTGAGCATTTCGTTAAAACTTTGTTTAGCCTCGTTTGTACTCCTTAAGGTAAATATATGATTATTCTGGTTTTACTGATGAGCATTTGAAGCTCGGAGTTGGAGCAGCTGCCATAGGTGGGAGAGCTGGTTGTCAGCCCCAAAGCTGTGCTGACAAAGCCAGTGTGTGTTTTCCTAGTTGAGGCATTCTCAGAGTCTCAGAGAGGTTGAGAGCCGAGGCTGACATTTGAGGTTATCTGATGTTGGCAGAGAAGGTCTCAAGCTTGCTAAAGAGAGAGAGAGAGAGAGAATGAGAGAGAGAGAGAGAGATGAAAAAGACTAAAAATGTGGGGTTTTGTGTTATTACGTTATAGTGAAAATGGCTTTGGTGTAGTCAGGAGGCTCAGGCTTGTTGCAGTTTGGTCACTAACAAATTTTACAACCCTGGATAAATCATTTGGTCTTTATTTTCCTTATTTGCAAAATAAGGACAATATATTCTACGTCTCAAAATTATTGTAAGATTACTCAGATTTATGCAAAAGTACCTTAAAACAATAAAGTACAATATGTGTGTACCTTAAAACAATAAAAGTACAATATTTTTACCTTAGATAATCCAGTCTTCTGAAGCTTAAGAAATGGCCTGTTTTTATCACATAGTTTGTCCCTTATGGATATTTTTTGGAGAAAAGGATTTAGTAGTCCTTTCGTTGCTCAATGAGCAGACCTCATGTTCTGGAAAGAGAACTGTTCCATTTCGGCGCCTTTATAAGTGTTTTGGAAAGGCAGAGACAGATCTGGTCACTTGCTATAAACTTGCAGGTCTGGTGGTCAGCATCACTCCTACTGTTTTAATTTTTAAAACTTAAACAAAACTGTGAACTCCATGTAGAATGTGCACAAAACACAAAGACACAGTTTAATGATATGTTTTAAAGCTAATAGCTATTTAATTGATCTTCAGGACAAGAAATAGAACATGCTTAGGACATTGCCACCAGGACTCCCTTAAGTAACCGCTCTTCTGACTTTTATGATAACTGCTTTCTTGCTTTTCTTTTTAGTTTTATTGTCTAAATATGCACCTTAAGATTACAGTTTATGTTTGCTTGTTTTTTAAAAATTATGTTTAGAGATGGGGTCTCACTATCTTGCCCAGGTTGGACTTGAACTCCTGGGCTCAAGTGATCATCCAGCCTCAGCCTCCCAAATAGCTGGGACTGTAGACAGACACCACCGTGCCCACTTTGTTTGATTGTTTTTGAACTTCATACAGATGTATGTATGTTTGTTTCTGGCCCTTTGACTCATTCTTATGAGATTTATTTGTATTGCTGAGTATAGCTGTGATTCATTTATTTTCAATGTTTATTGCATCTCTTGGTATGAAACCCACAACTTCAACATTCCGGAGTAGATACACTTAGGGATTTCTAGTTTTTGACTACTAAGTAGTGCTGCTCTGAGCATTCTTGTGCATTTCACCCGTTGTACGTATGCATGTGTTTCTGTTGGGTATATTCCAACAGAATACCACCCAACAGTGGTATTGCTGCATATCTTCAGATTTGTTAGATAATGCCAAGATGTTTGCTAAGGTGTTGATTATGCCAGTTTACATTCCTGCCAGCATGTAGGAGAGTTTCTGTGGCACCACATTCTTGTTAACACTCAGTCTCGTGGGTCTTTTTCATTTTAGCCTTTGGAGTGTGCAGTAGTGTTTCATTTAATTTTAAAATTTTTAATTATTTATTATTATTATTTTAGAGATGGGGTTTGACCATGTTGGCCAGGCTGGTTTCGAACTCCTGACCTCAGGTGATCTGCCCGCCTCTGCCTCCCAAAGTACTGGGATTACAGGCATGAACCACTGTGCGTGGCCTGTCTCATTTAATTTGCATTTTCTTGATGACTAATGGAAATTGAAAAACTTTTCTTAGAATGATGACCATTGATTTCTTTTGTGAAGTGCCTATTTACATAGTTTGCCCATTTTTCTAACAGCTTGCCTATCAGTTGCTTTGTTGAACACTTTCTAGACTGAATTTGACCAGTCTAGGTGATTCATGTAAGTGGAACCAGATAGTATTTGTCTTTGTGACTGGCTTACTTTACTCCACATAATGCCTTTATATATTCTAGAAACAAGCCTGTTATTGCTTATTTGTTTTGTAATACCTTCTTCTAGTGTGACTTGACTTTCACTTTCTTAAGTGGGTTTGGTGTGCCAAAGTTCTTAATTCTAATTTGGTCCAGTTATAACAATCTTGTCCTTTACAGTTTTGTTGTGTCCTGATATTTTCCTCTATCCTGGGATCATGAAGTTATTTTCTAAAAGGTTTATTGCTTTACTTTCTGCACATTTATCTATTATCAGGAATTCTTTTTTATGCAGGTTGTGAGATAGCAGTCAGTTGATCCAGAGACATCGGTTTAAAAAGTAGCCCTCTTGTCACTGCTCTGTAATGCCTGGTTTTTCATAAATACACCAATAGGCCTGAGTCTGTTTCTTTATCCTGTCTGTTGGTATATGTGTCTGTCCATCAACTGACAACACATTGCCTTAATTCATGTGATATTGTAATCAATCTTAATGTCCACGGGGAGCAAGTTTTATCACCTTATTTTACCAAAAGAGTGCCTTGCCGTATTATCACATGTATTTTAGAATCAGCTTGTTTAGTACTTGAAAAAATAAATGTTTGTGTTTATTGGGGTTTTGAATGAAATTTTATTGAATATTTAGATCAGTTTGGGAGAACTGAAAATTTCACAATACTGAGTTTTTTTTCTCCTTTATTTTTGCTATCAAAAAATTTTTAAATTTGTTACATAGCTTTTTGGGCAGATATTTTGGCTAGATTTATTCCTAGGTGTTTACCATTTTTATGCAATTAAAAATAGGAACATTTTAAAATTTCCTCTTTGGCTTGTTGTGAGAAATGTAATTTTTTTCATATATATTGAATTTGTATTAGTCTTGCAAAACATTAATTTTATAATGCATCTTCAGATCTTCTAGATTTTTTCTTTTTCCTTTTTTGAGACAGAGCTGGAATGCAATGGCATGATCTCTGCTCACTGCAACCTCTGCTTCCTGGGTTCAACCAATTATCTGCCTTAGCCTCCCAGGTAGCTGGGATTAGAGGCACCTGCTGCCATGCCTGGCTAATTTTTGTATTTTTAGTAGAGACAGAGTTTCACCATGTTAGCCAGGCTGGTCTTGAACTCCTAACCTCGTGATCTACCCACCTCGGCCTCCCAAAGTGCTGGGATTATAGGCGTGAGCCACCATGCCTGGCCTGTTCTACATTTTTTTACTCAATTATATTTTCCATTCAAAATGATAGTCTTTTTTTCTGCTAATTTTCATACTTTTATTTTTTTTCTTGCCACAGTTACTTAGCTAGGACTGCAGATACAATGTTGAACAGAAGTTGCAGAGTGGATATTTTTGTCATGTTCCGGTCTCAGAAAGCTTTTGGTGTTTCATCATTAAGTGTGATGCTTTTTGTAGGTTTGAAAAAATATATCCTTTATGAAGTTAAGGGAGAATCTTTCTCTTCTTAATCTGCTAAGACTTTTTAATTGTGAATGCAGTGGATGTTCAATTTCTCAGATGGTTTGCATCTTTTGAGATCATTAACATAATAAAGGGGAAATACGTTATTAATATGGCAAGTTACATGGAATGATTTGTTGTTAAGCCAGTAGCACCAGGACAGTCACTAAAGTTGAATTTAAAAGAACGGATAGCTTCTAAACTAAGTGATGAAAAGTCCTTTTAGTTTTTGTATGAGAATTATTTCACTTTCTAGAAAGGTATATTTTACTGGTCGTAGAATTATAGGTTGGTAATTAGTAATTGTCTTTTTTCACTTTGCTGAGGCATTTCTTTATTGTTGGCAATATTGGTCTTAATCTTCATCATTTAAACGACGTACCTAACATATCTAGGTATGGATTTTTCTTTAGCATGCTGTGATTCATTGGGCTTCTTGAATCTGTGGCTTGATTTTTCTACAGTTTTTGGAACATTTTCAGCCATTACCTGTTCAGGTATTGCTTTACTCTTTTGGACACAGGATCTTGCTCTATTGCCCAGGCTGGAGTGCAGTGACAGGATCATGTCTCACTGCAGCCCCAACCTCTTAGACTCAAGCACTCCTCTCACCTCAGTCTCCTGAGTAGCTGGCACTACAGGGTTGTGACACCATGCCCAGTTAATTTTTGTATTTTTTTGTAGAGACAGGGTTTTGCCAGGCTGGTCTCAAACACCTGGGCTCAAGCAATCTGCCCGCCTTGGCCTCCCAAAGCGTTGGGATTACAGGTATGAGCCACTGTGCCTGGCCTTTTATTCTTTCTAAAGGCGTAAAATTCAGTGGTTTAGAATATATTGATAGACTTGTACAACCATCACCACTGTCTAATTTCAGAACATTCTTATTGCCCCATAACACAAACTTCATAACCATCAGCTATTGTTTAAAAGTTATTTCTAATTGTTGTAAGTTATACAGAACATAAAATTTACCATGTAACTAGTTTTGTGTACAGTTCAGTGGCATTAAGCACATTTGCATTGTGCAACCATCACCAACATCTATATCCAGAGTGTTTTCTCTTGTAAAACTGAAACCCTGTAGCCATTAAACAATAACTTTCATTTCTCCCTTCTACAGCCCCTGACAGAAACCAGTGCACTTTCTGTATCAGTGAATTTGACTGGTCTAGGTAATTCATGTAAGTGGAACCAGACAATATTTGTCTTTGTGACTGGCTTACTTTACTCCATATAAAGCCTTCAAAGTTTATCCACGTTGTAGTGGTTCAGAAAAGAGCTAAATTTCCATTGTATGGGTAGAGTGGCAGACTACACTTTGCATATCCATCGTCTGTCAAGCAAGGCTTGAGTTGTTTCCTCCTTTTGACTCTTGAAGATAATGATGCTGTGAACATGGGTTTACAACTGTCTTTGGAAACTCTGCTTTTACTTCTTTTGGGTATATGCCCAGAAGTAGAATTGCTGGAATCATATGGTAATATTATGTTTAATTTTTTTGAGGAATTGCTATAACTATTTTCCATAACAGCTCTACCATTTTACACTTCAGCAGTGTACAGCAGTTCCGGTTTCTCTACATCTTCACCAACACTATTTTTTATTTTTTTAAAATACCATCCTGGGCTGGGTGCTGTGGCTCACACTTGTAATCCCAGTGCTCTGGGAGGCCAACAGAGGCAAATCGCTTGAGTCCAGAAGTTCTAGACCAGCCTGGGCAACGTGGCAAAATCTAGCCTCTACAAAAACACAAAAAATTAGCTGGGTGTGGTGGCACACGCCTGTAGTCCCAGCTACTGGGGCGGTGGTGGTGGGGCGGGGTGGGGGGGCGCGGGTGGGTTGCTGAGGCAGGAGGATCACTTGAAGCTGGGAGGTGGAGGTTGCAGTGAGCTGAGATCACGCAACTGCACTCCAACCTGGGTGACAGAGCATGAGCCTGTCTCAAAAAAAAACAAAAAATTCTAATAAATGTCAGCTGTTGCTTTTTACCTATTATCTCTCATTTCGTTTTGAATTCCATTTAAATTAAATGTTTTCTCTCTATCCTCTTACCCACTCTTTTGAATTTTCCATCTTTTTGCCTCTCTTTATTCTGGATTTTTTCTGCAGACTTAGTTTCCTGTTTGGTTCTCTTCATGTATTTACAGCGCACTTAGAAAAAAAAAAGCCCATTCATTATTTCATTTTTTCTCTTGTATTATTTGTTTAATCTCTGTAATTTTAAAAGTTGTCATTTCTCGGCTGGTCACGGTGGCTCATGCCTGTAATCCCAGCACTTTGGGAGGTTCTCGCGGGTAGATCATGAGGTCAGGATATTGAGACATCCTGGCCATGGTGAAACCCCGTCTCTACTAAAATACAAAAAATTAGCCAAGCGTGGTGGTGTGCACCTGTAGTCCCAGCTACTCAGGAGGTTGAAGCAGGGGAATTGCTTGAATCTGGGAGACGGAGGTTGCAGTGAGCCGAGATCGCGCCACTGCACTCCATCCAACCTGGTGAAAGAGCAAGACTCCATCTCAAAACAAAAAATTTCATTTATCTACCCAAAACTTTAATCATGTGTTTTTTCTTCATAGACATAATAAGACTTATTTAATTTAATTAATTTATTGAGATGGGGTGTCTCTCTCGGTTGCCCAGGCTGGAGTGCAGGGACGTGATCTCCACTCCCTGCAACCTCTGCCTCCCAGACTGAAGTGATCCTCCCACCTCAGCCTACTGTGCAGAGCAGCTGGGACCACAGGTACACACCACCACACCCAGCTAATTTTTAAATTTTTTTGTAGCGGTGGAATTTCATCATCTTGCCCAGGCTAGTCTGGAACTCCTGAACTCAGGTGATCTGCCCGCCTCGGCCTCCCAAAATGCTGGGCTGAGACACCACGCCTGGTCTGACTTGTTATTTTAAAGTCTGTTTTTAATGATTCTCCTATCCAGGGATCCAGAGTTCCGGTTGGTCGTTGTTTCTGCTACTTTTCATTTACTTTGTCCTGTGTGCCTGGTTATCTTTGGTTATGTTTCAGATGTTCTCTCTGAAAAATTGTTACAGGAATAGGCAGGGTGCAGTGCCTCATGCTTGTAATCCCAGCACTTTGGGAGCCGAGGCGGGCAGATAGCTTGAGGTCAGGAGTTCGAGACTAATCTGGCCAATGTGGTAAACCCTGTATCTACTAAAAATACAAAACTTAGCTGGGCTAATCACACATCCCAGCTACTCAGGAGGCTGAGGCACAAGAATTTCTTGAACCTGGGAGGCGAAGGTTGCAGTGAGCAGAGATTGCACCATTGCACTCCCAACCTGGGCGACAGAGTGAGACTCTGTCTCAAAAAACAAACAATAACAACAAAAGAAAAATTATTACAGGAATAAATCGAAGACTAGACCAGGATGATGTTTCTAAATCCAGAAATGACTTGTGTTTTTATCTGCCCAGGGCTTTTGGGCACAGTCTAAACTCACTTTAATCTGATGTCAGGGATTAGGATTTTTCCAGACTACCCAGATGCTTGGAAACTGGGCTGCAGTCCGTGTGAAGGCTGTTTTGTTTCCAACTCACTCTCTTCCTAAAGTCTAGCCATTTGGGTTTCCAGCCCAAGTGGTAGGGAGTTAACTAGGCCACCAACTTTGGAGGGGTTTGGAATCTAACCTTTGCCCTCCTAGATGACCCAAGAGATTATTAAAAGTGGTTCTCTGTGCCCTTTCCCAGTGTTTAAATGGCCCCAGGGCAAAGTAGACCAGTTGCTGGAGGCTCATCTCTGTGAATTTTAGTTGTCTGTGTTTCTTGACCTGGAAGCTCTGTGCCTTCTTAGTTCTCTGATGCTTTCAAGCAGATGTTCTTTTATATCCAGCATTGTTAGTTGTGCTCAGCAGGAGTGTTGGTCCCAGTGACCTGGTCAGCCCTCTTCTCTCTTTTACAAAAGGGTCTTTTAGAGGTTTTTAGGACAATGAAACTGTGTTGGATCTTGAGAACTCATCTGTTCCAGCCTCATTCACGTCAATAAAGTAGGGTTTATCGATCACCTACTTTGTACCCAGTGTCGTGCTATTATTATGGGAATTCCGAGGAAATGCAAGATGGTAGTATTCCTTACATTCAAGGAGTTTAGCTGGGGAAACAAGCACAAATGTAGATATTAGTAAAAGGTCAGAGGCGGTGTTCAAGGGCCATGCAGTTAATGGTGTTGGAAGAAAAAAATTACGACAAATTTAGTTTAAAGATTTTGATTGGCTTTTATTTGTGATTTTAGAACTAGGCAACACTTCATTCCATAAAACAGAATTGCGTGTTCCAGTGAGCCATGCAGAAGAGGTTGGTTTTGTAGACCTAAGGCCTGAAGAAAGCAGAAACGGGGGAAAAAAGTGCCCTTAGGTGCAAGGCAGTTTCAAGCATTTTACATTCACACTTTATTTAATTCTCATAACAACCACGAGGTAGCTGTTATTATTGTCCCTGTGTTACAGATGAGGAGATTTAGGCACAAAGAGGTCTTTACAGCTCATTATTAGAGTGATCTTCTGGGCAAGGACTTTTTCATGTATCCTTTCTTCAGTAGGGAAATGGAAGCCCTGGAGAAGGGCCCGAGCTGTCAGTGCTGGAACTGCCTTCCGTCATCCTGGCTGGCACCCTTGACCTTTCCTGTCCTATTTCTTTGGGGCTCAGGTGCATCTGCCCACTCAGTCTCCTTTGGGAGTTTCCATACTCCCCAGTCCCTCTAGGCAAGGCATTGAAACCTGACTGTCCGGACTTAATGAGGCCTTCTCTGCTCAGACCTACCAGGTAAACTGCCACCCTGGAAAAGCTGAAGTCAGTTTTCATGCTAATAAACTATAGTCCTCTTTACCTTAGCCTTGAACATGTATGAAGGGATGTTTCTGTAATGAATAACACCCCTACCTGTAACCAGTAATGCAACTGTACAGATGCTTAAGATTTCACCAGACAAAAGCTAAATGACTCACTTAAGTGATGGGCTGGCTTTTTTTTTTTTTTTTTTTTTTTTTTTTTTTATGGAGTCTCGCTCTTTCGACAGGCTGGGGTGCAGTGGCACCATCTTGGCCTGCAACCTCTGACTCCCTCGTTCAAGTGATTCTCCTGCCTCCTGAGTAGCTGGGATTATAGGCACTCGTTGCCATGCCCAGCTAATTTTTGTATTTTTAGTAGAGACAGCGTTTTACCAGGTTGGTCAGGAGGGTCTCGATCTCCTGACCTTGTGATCTGCCTGCCTTGGCCTCCCAACGTACAGTGCCCAGCAGGGGTGTTCTTTTTTAAAAAATCAACTTTTTTTTTTACAGAAAAATTGCAAAGATAATACAATCTCATTATATCTAACATTAATGTGGTTTATTACAACTAATGATCCAGTATTGCTATATTATTACTAAAGTTCATGCTTTATTAATATTTCCTTAGTTTCTACCTAAGGAAAAATATCATTTTTCTGGTTTAGACTCTCTTCCAGGACACCTCATTACATTGAGTTGTTATGCTTCCCTTAGCTCCTGTTGTTGTGAGTTTCTCAGAGTTCTTGCGCTTGAAGATCTTGATAGTTTTGAGGGGTACTGGTCAGGTGTTTTATAGGATGCTCCTCTCTTATGCTTAGACTGGGCTTAGGGGTTTTAGTAAGGACTATCACAGAGGCAAAATGCCGTTTTCATAACACCATATCAAGTGTACTTGATGGTGACCTCCACTGGCTCTGCTGGATGCAGTTACTCCCCCCACTTCATACTGTACTGTTTGGAAGAAAGTCATAGTGTCAAACCTAATCCTTTTTAGCTGGAAAATAGAGTCATTATTTTAAAGTGTTTATACCATTATTATATTATTAAAAGAAAAATCTGTTTACAAGTTGTTCTCTTTATAAAAGTTTTACAAATTATTTTCTTTAATATTGTCAGGTAGCCTGTTTCTTTCAAGAACATTTTATATATTGTGGGGATTATTGGGCCACTTTGGATTCCTTCAGTTTTGAAGCAGTAGATTTCAAAGCTGAGTAGAAAAGCCAGCAGTTTTTGCTCTTATCAGCTGCCAGACGCAGGGGCAGGCCGTATACGAACATTGGGCAGTGCCCGACATTGTGTTTGGAAGCATGTTTAATCAAGTCTCACAATGGAGATCTGCCCACCTCAGCTTCCCAAAATGCTGATGACATCTTTGGAGGTGCAAACGCTGACTGAAAGTCCACCTAGGCTACAGGGTTGGCTAAGCACGAAGAGAAGTAAGGCAGGACAGTTGCTTTGGACACTCTGGGTAAAGTTGACACTAAGTCGCAAACGTTTTCCCAGGAAAAACCCGGAGGTTTTGGTGGAAACGTAATCATACTTCTCGTGCGCCATCTACTGGTATAATAGAACACAAAACTTATATTTATCCATGGTTTACTGTTATTGAAGGGTTTTCGTTTTTTCCAAAAATTGCACCAACGTAAAGCAGAACTTCAGTTGATGCGAGTGTGTTGTTTAGGCGTTAGCAGTACTGCCCTCACTATGCGCTCATTGGACAGTAGCGCAACCCCAAGAAAAGGATGGTTACAGTAAATGGTTCGTGCGCTGCAAGCAGGAAGCCCCAATACCTTGTAGGGTTGTGGTACTTAATTCGTGAGTCCCGCCCTAGTTGGCCTGGTAGTTATCTTACCTGCAGCCTGCACAGCTTTTGACGACACCACCAATTCTTTGTTTTCGGAGGCTCCGGAAGGGTCGCAGAAACGGCGGCCAGGTTTTACCCAGAAGACCGAGCGTCGGCCGCTCGAAAATTTGCATACGCTCCTCGTCGGGGCGGAACTGGAGGGGGCGGGACCGCGGCGCGCTCTTAAACTCTGCAGGGCGGCTAACCCGGCTTTGGCTACGCTGTATAGCCTTTTATTTCGTTTTTCCCCTCACGGAGTATTTTCCATTATAGCTGTACACAGCTCTTTTTGTGGAAGATCGTCCTTCCTCGCGCTAATCAGTTTGGTTCTCCCAGTCGGCATGCACGCTCTGGACTCTCTGACTGCGTTTGGACTAGAAATGTCGGGGTGTCCCCGGAGCGGGTGGGCGGGAGCGCTGCCCCGCAGGCCGGCCGCTAACTGGCTCCGGGTGTTTCCCGTTGCAGGTGGTTCTGCTGGGCATGGACATCCTGTCCGCCCTCGTGACCCGGCTGCAGGATCGGTTCAAGGCGCAGATCGGCACAGGTGAGCTGCGGCAGTAGTGAAGCGGCCCCGGCCCCTTCAGACCCCAGCCTTCCCTCGGCCTCTCCGGCTCCTCCACTTAGCTGCTTCCAACCCTTCCGGCAGCCACCCTGCCTCCCCATTCATCCCCCTTGGTCTCGCTGCCGCTCTTTCCACACAGCCAGTCCTTGCCACGCAGCCCCCGCAGCCCCCGCCCGCTGCACCACTGCCTTCCCTCCCGCAGCCCTGGCCGGCTGCACCGCTGCCTTCCTTCCCTGCTGGGCTTCTCTGGCCTCTGGGCCTGCAGGTGCCCTTACCCTCCCCCATATCTTTGTGCTGGCTTCTTTGTGTTCTCATATGGAACTCATATTAGTGCCGTTTTTATTTCTTATGCTAAATTAGCTGTCACCCTTTCGTGCCAACCAAGCCATGTTTGTTCCTGACCCCTGGTCCCCTTTAATGAGAGGCAGTTTTCTTTGAGAAGTCCTATAAAACCGAGCCAGCTGTATTTTTCCCCAGTTGATTATGATTGGCATTACCATTTTCACCTTGATTGTTAATGTCATTACAAGGGTATAGTAAATGTTCGCTGTTATTTTGAGGGAAAGCAATATGTCAGCCAAATGGAACAAAACCCACAGATTTCATAGATTTAAATACCTCGAAATTCTTGACCTCCGGTGTTTCACAGGGGCAGTATAAACACTAAGCAGCTCTATGCAACCATTTCCTTATGGAATCTCTCTATTTTCATTGCCACACATGTATTTGTTCTTTTCTGTTAACTTTCTTATCAATATATTCCTTCTGAAAAAGTGGTGAACTGTTATCCCATTCTAGCACCTAGTATCTTTTTACAAATAAACCATTCCTTTTAGAAATTCCATATTTTAATAGTGTTCCATTTTCCTCCTAAATTAGCTGAACTATTCAGAGATATCTCTTGTAATAGAGGTTTCCAGACTGTTAAAATAAGCTGACCTCTGGTCTACAGGTGTCCTTGGAGCACTGGTGGGAGGGTCCACATTTGGGTATGTGGGGGAAGATGGAAAGCTGGGCTCTGTCTCATGTGTGTTTGGGTGTGATGTAAAACTAAAAACACACAATGTCAATGAAATGTAAGACTTATCCATAAGTGCCTACTCCTTCCACCCCCAAACACATATGCTGGAGCCCCTCTCCTTGACTTTTACCTAAATTTTCCTTTCTGTTGACTCTTCCTGCCAAGGCCTTCCATTTTTATCAGCTTACAAATACATTGGGAACTGGCTGGAAGAGCGTGGGGTAAAAATGAAGACAAATAGTATATCTGTCTATGCAAAAGATTTTGCAGAAGCTTTTGCTGACTTTCATGGATTTCAGCAAGAATAGAGCTGTGAGCAAAGATGAGTGGTTTTAGAATGACACACGTCATTTAGGTCAGGGGTTTGTCTTCCCACATAATTGAAATAGCAATACTTGGTGACCACAGACCCCCAAATAGGGTTTCATTTGACCAGTTTCCGTTTTGATTTTCAGTGCTGCCAAGTCTAATAGACAGACTAGGAGATGCTAAAGACTCTGTGAGGGAGCAGGACCAAACGCTGCTGCTAAAGATCATGGATCAAGCTGCTAATCCCCAGGTAGGGCAAGAGATGTGTTTTGAGGTCAGCGGGCCTGTCTGTGCACATGCACGCACAATGGTGTGTGTACTTGCACAAATGGTGTGACTCCATGGACTTAAGCTGATGTATTACAGATAAAAATTTTCACAGCATTCAATCTGTTTCCCATGCAAGATATTTAAATAAGTCACAAAAGTATAAGATGAAAAAATTAGTGGGTTTAACATGGGGGTTTTGAATAAATTAGTGAATTTAATATATTTGGTTTTAACCTATTAGACTCTTCAGTTCATTTATGTAACTGATTCTCCAGTTCTCTGAAAAGAGGAAGCTGTAGTGTCTGGGGAGTCAGCAGGCCTGACTGGAGCCCTGGCCCCTGTCTTCTAGTGAGTTGGGGCTGCTGGGATGGACTGAAACAGCCCTGCCTTCCTGGGTTCCACTGTCTGTTATTAGGGGGGTGATGAGAAAATCAGAGCACAGTGTGAGTGTGTGATCTTCAGCAACTCACTGGCTCTTTTGGCCTTGCTTTCCTCACTATAAAACGAGGACAGTTATACCTCCCCTTCAGAGTTCTTGGGAGAATTAAATGCAATTATGTAAATGAATGTGTTTTAAAAATTGTAATACTTGATAACATGATAGATGCCGTCATTTTCCAGTATGCTCTTGAAGGTATTAAACGTGTTGGTAGAGGGTGGGACTAACTTGGCACTCGTTAAGAGGCCCCCTTCCATTGCCCCCTTACTAAGTGACAGCTGCAACAGTCTTCTGTGTTCCTCACCTGTTCTTTGTCATCTGCAGTACGTATGGGACAGAATGCTTGGAGGCTTCAAACACAAGAATTTCCGTACCCGTGAAGGAATCTGTCTCTGCCTTATAGCAACACTCAATGCGTAAGTCTGCGATGAGTCTGACATTTTTACCTGGCTGAATTTTTAAAAACTTTTTATTTTGAAATATAGATTTGCAGGAAGTTGCAAGAGATGTAGTGTGAGGTCTCATGCCCCCTTACCCCCCTTGTCCAATGTTAGCATCTTGAATAACTGTAGTGCAGCATCAGTACCAGGAAGTTGAGATTGATACAATCCCCAGAGCTTGTGCAAATTTCTCAGGTAAACACATGCGTATTTGTGTGTATTTACAACTGCACCCCTTCCTCATGCTGCCGTGTGTAGCCACACCCTGACCCCTGGCAGCCATGCATCTGTTCTCCCTCCCTATGATTTTGTCATTTCAAGAATGTTATGTAAATGGAATTATACAGTATGTAACCTTTTGAGTTTATCTTTTTTTCACTCAGCATAATACCCTTGAGGTTGCCCATGTCATCGACTGATAGTTCATTTTATTGCTAAATAGAATTCCTAGGTATAGATCTTTCACAGTTGGCTAAACTATTCAACTGTTGAAGAACATTTGGGTAATTTGCAGTTTTTGGCTTTTATGGATAAAGCTGTTGTGAACATGCATGTACAAGTTTCTACGTGAACATAAGTTTCCATGTCTCTTGGATCAGTGCCCAAGAGTACACTTGCTAGGGCATTTGGTAAGTTCATTTTTAGTTTACAAGAAACTGCCAGTTTTTCTCCTGGAGTTGTCCGTACCGTTTTACTTTCCCACCGGCAACGTCTGAATGATCTGGTTTCTTCATACCCTTGCTGGCCATTGGATGTTGTCACTTTTTAATTTTAGCCATTTTTATATGTGTGTGGTAATACCTCATTGTGGCTTTAAGTTGTTTTTATCTAATGACTGTCGACATTTTTTTCCTGTGCTGATTTGTAGGAGAGGCATTTTTAAAATTACAAATTTCAACCCTTTTTTCTGCTTATGAAAATAATGAGTTATGTTATTTTTAAAAACAAAATTGAGATTAATGTTTATATTACTTCGTAAATTTTTTCCATCTTAATATGTTAGCCTTTTCAGTGCCATTAAATTTGGCCACATGTAGCTGAAGCTTTAAAAAAAAAAGTTCTAGCCTTTGATCATAGCAGCTCCCATTGTAGGAATTTATGCTAAGATTGTAGGCACATTAACCAAGAGATTTGTATTCACAAAGGCTATTTGTCATGGCAGCGATGGTGATGGTGAAAATTGTAACTCAAATGTGCCCCAGTAGGGCAGTGCTTGGCTCAGATGTGTCCCAGTAGGGCAGATGCTCTGGTTTGATTGCTGTCTTTTTATCCAGCAGTGTTGCCTTAATGTCTACTGTAGCAGAGAGCTCTGCCACAGCACATGAGAGAATTAAGCAAGGTCCCTCAAGCGACTTGTAGTTGCCTTGCAGTGACAGACGGTAATGCAGAGGCAGCACCTGTGAGGCAAGCGGACTGGGAGCGGGCCAGAGCTCTGGCCCAGCCTTAAAGGGGTAGGGCCTGTTCTGCCACAGCCCTGGGGGACTGGAGGAAGTCTCATCTGGGAGAAGCCACCCTAGGTTTTGAACTCTGTGCAAAGGGGCCATCGGATACATTTACTCTGGAGCCAGCGTGGATGGGATGGAGAGAGACTTGGTGTGAGGTGGTGATGGGGGTTGGGGAGACACAGGGAGGGCAGGTGTGGGCAGACAGGCGTTTTTCTTTTCTCGGTTCTCACTAACAAGAAGGCACTCCTTTTGTTTTCAGCTCTGGAGCACAGACTTTAACACTAAGCAAGATCGTGCCACATATATGCAACTTACTTGGGGATCCAAACAGCCAGGTGAGTGAGAAGGAAAACCCCTGGGGGGAGGTCGGTGCCTAGACTGTTCAGATGCGTTGTGGTGTTCTGTCTATTCCCAATAGGTGGGTGGGACTGTGGTCCTAATCTTCATAGAGCAATGATGATTATTTAAGAGTCCAGTACCCATTAGCTTTTACAAAATATTTATCCATTTAAATGTATAAAATGTGTATACCTTTAAGTATTAAATTGGTAAATGTGGTGGCCACTCTGCCCTCTTCTATACCCAGGGCTGAGAAATCACTAGCCTAGAAATTGATGTTATCCAGACCAGCCTCCGAGATAAGATGTGTGACCACTTTTTCTGCAGCCAAAATGGGTGGTGCCAGGGGTAGTGGTGCAGAATCTGTGCTGAGGTGGGGGAGAATGATTGGAAGAGGGTCTGAGGGGACTGTTCTGAGGTGATGGAAATGTTCTTCATTTTGCTGTGGGGGGGGCAGCTCCACTGTGTATATATCATTGTGGAAACTCAAACTGAACGTTTAAGAGCTGCAGATTTTACCTAAATTAATGAAAAGCACCACTTCCTTGTGTGAGGGCAGGAGAGGCGCTGGCTGTCTCACCTGTGAGTAGTTACCAGGCAATTCACGAAGTTGTACAAGTCTGGGCTGGAGAAATAACACTGAACTCGCTTCCCAGTTCAATGCTCTTTCTCAACCAGAATCATTTTTATTATGTCATCTCATTCAAGCTGATAAGAAACATACATTAGCAGAAGGTTCAGAAAATGGAACAGTAATTTATAAGAGAAATGTCCATGGTCAGTGGCCTCTCCTTGAAATCTTGGTAACTGCTAAGTTACCTTCCCAAGAGGTTGTATCAGGCTCGCCTTCCACCCAGCCTCCCCCGGCCTCAAGCTCCCCTGAGTCTGCAGCACCCCTCCTGCTCTCCAGGCCCTTTCCTTGCCTTGCTCTTGGTTCCAGCAGCAGACGTCTCTCCTGTCTCTGGCTGTTGTGCTGCTCCTTCCACCCCAACCTCTGCCCTCCTCACTGCCTGTTGTCTGCTGTCTCCCTGCTTTCTTCTTCTGCTCATGCCCTTTTTCAGCCTTCGTTGAAAATAAATGGCATTAGGCTGGCCATGGTGGGCTCACGCCTGTAATCCCAACACTTAGAAGGCCAAGGTGGGCAGATCACTTGAGGCCAGGAGTTCAAGACAAGCCTGGCCAACATGGTGAAACTCCGTCTCTACTAAAAATACAAAAAAAAAATAACCAGGTGTGGTGGCGCATGTCTGTAATCCCAGCTATCAGGAGACTGAGGCACAAGAATCACCTGAACCTGGGAGGTAGAGGTTACAGCGAGCCAAGATTGTGCCACTGCATTCCAACCTGAGCAACCCAGGAAGACTTCATCTTTTTTTTAAAAAAGGAAAATATATGGCATTGGAAAGAAATGTTTAGACATTTTTATTTACTTAATCATACTTTATATTCAATGTTAAATTAAAGATAAGTTGAACCAGTTTTTAAAAAGATTCTAAATTACCAAATAGATTATTTTGTTGTACCCTTCCCCCTTTTGGTTTTGTTTCTGTTTTTGTTTTCTGTGGGAAAAATCCTTTTAGAGGCCACACTCTGGGGGGGTCCCTGCTGCCACATGGAGTGCTCTAGCAGAGCAGAGAAGCTAACTTGCTGAGGTGATTTGTTCCTCGTTCAGTTGCTGACTTTGGTCAGAAAGGTGATGTGAATGTTGACACTACCTGTGGGGATCTTAGAACCTGAGGTGGTCGGTGAGGGCTGGGCTCTCTAAATGCACTTCCATGGTGGAGTCAATATAAAACACAGACCAGGCCAGGCACGGTGGCTCATGCCTGTAATCCCAGCACTTAGGGAGGCCAAGGCAAGTGGATCACTTGAGGTCAGGAGTTCGAGACCAGCCTGACCAACATAGTGAAACCCCATCTCTACTAAAAATACAAGAATTAGCCGGGCATAGTGGTGCACACCTGTGATCCCAGCCACTCAGGAGGCTGAGGCAGGAGAATCGCTTGAACCCGGGAGGCGGAGGTTGCAGTGAGCTGAGATGGTACCACTGCACTCCAGTCTGGATAACAGAGCGAAATTCCGCCTCAAACAAACAAAAAAACAAAAAACACAGACCAGACCTATACTGTCCAGAACGACAACAAGGGACATTGTCTAGAGTGGAGGGGAGCACTGCATGGGTGTGTGCCACAATGCTGTTCATCCCACGGGATCCCCTCACTCATCTACTTTTCCCCTTTTTCCTCCTTCTTCCGCATATGTTTACTGAGAGCTCATGCTGTGGGCCTCCCTTGTCTGTGTGGATCCTTGAGCTTTTTGGGGGAGGTGATGGAGAGTACTAGCTCGATTTTGTTTCTGAGCCTCGAATTTTGCTTCTGCAACTAAGATGGACAACATCCTCGAGGAAAGTGAAGGAGACATCGCGTTGTCCTGGGGCTCTTCGCTGATGAATGACCTCAGTATTTCCCTGCCCAAAAGATCATGGATTCGGTGTAGATTTTGAGAGACATTGGGAGTGGAATGTTAAGCACATTTAAAATTTTGAGTGGGTACATTCTCATTCTTGAAGCTATTCAGATAAGCCTTGAAGAATGTCTTACTTTTCACAGGCTTTCCTTTCCTCTGAAGTTTTCTACCAGAGGAGGCCTCACTTAAAAGCTCCTTAAAGCTTCTGCAGAAAAGAGACAGGAAGGGCCTAGTTTGTTTCTGTGCTGGGCTGCTCTCTGATACTATTTTTCTCCTTTAGGTCTAGAGAAGGAGTTAACTTGTCCCTAGGGATTTTAACTAGATATTCTTTGTTTTAGAAGTACACAGATTAAATTTCAGATGATCAGCACAATCCCACATTCTCAAAATGTTGATTCAGTTGTTTAAAAAAGGTAACATTGAGTCTTTAACAGTTTGACATACTGTTCTAAAGTTGCCAAAAGGCAGGATATGTTTAATATTAATACTTGAGCCACCTGATGCAATGTAAGACACCTAGGTTAAAGGCATAGATCCCTGCTTTGCATGTAACAGCCAGCTAACCTTGGAGTCACTTGGATCTTGAGCCTCAGTTTCCCCTTTAAAGTGGGGGCAGTGGTAAGTGCCCCACCCTTCAATCCTCATGAGAGTCCTTGCAAGTGAATGTTTTTAAGTGCGCGTTGTGACCAGTTGGTCCAAGTAGAAGACTCTCAGAAGGCCAAGTTACTCAGTAGTCTTCTCATCATCTGAGGTGGCCATTTTCATTTGCAGAAATCATGCCCCTGCCATGTGCCAGTGGGTTTCTGAGAAACTCAGGTGTATAGTGATTTTAAATATATGAAAAGCCTTAACTGTGAGATAGCCTTAGTGTCTTGAGATGTATTTGTGATATTGACATAGCCATATTTCTACCACACATTGGCAGCCCTGGAGTAGACTGTACTCATGCTGCCATATCCCAGACATGAGTTTCACTAAAATCAGGTGCTCCTGAACTGCTTATGGGTAATAATAATAATACAACTGAAAAACAAAAGTAATACATTTAATGGATTGCATCTTACTGCTACATGTAATCATCATAGATTGTATAATTTATAAAAATAATTTATGAGGAAGCAAACAGTTTTTTAAAATAAGATATTAAATGTAAGACTTGTTTAAAATGTTTCATTAAGCCAAAAATTCAAGTTAGCACTTCCTGCCTGGTGTCTTTAATGGCAGTTATACTTTTTGTGCCAGGAAACCCTAAGTCTTGGCCAGGAGTTTGGAGCCTACAGTGGTTTCATGGGTTGAGTTCTAGGCCTATGTGTCTGCGTTTGCGAAAGCTCTTATTACTTGTTTTGTTTTTTCATTTCCCCTGCCTCATCTGTAAGACGAGATTGGTATTCTGCAGGCAGCTTTCAGTATTCTGTAGTAGACAGCATTTACAGCTGGAACATTCCAAACTGAGCACTCTGGAAATAATCCGTATATTCACATGTGCCTTAGACATGTTTTGTTTGCACATATATTTGCTTGCACACGTGCACTCGCGCGCGCGCGCGCACACACACACACACACACACACACACACACACACACAGAGGCACATAATCAATCCATGTCTCCCTTCTGCCAGGAAGTTCTGCATCCACCTCCCTGATACTAATCAAGTTAATGATTCCTGCTTCTGGGGTACATGTGTAGCTTGCATCTGCTTTTGCTGTTGCCTTTATTTTAATCTTTTCATTAATCTTTCCTACTAGTCTCTGAACCTCTAGAGTTAGGATTATAACTTCTTCCTCTTTGCAGTTCCCGGTGCCCCATGACTATTTGAATGATTTTCCATTATTTGCCACGTCTCAGACCAGAGAGGACACTGTTGTATCAATGTTGTCTCTGCACTCAGGCGCCTGACCTAGCGGTCAGCCTCCAGCTCCTCGTTTCCCTACAGCCAGTGTGTGGAGAACCCTCTCTCAGCTCTTCAGGCAGTGGCTAACATAGACTGGATTTGGTGTTTAAAATCACCTTGGCAAGTGTTCATTTCCTTAGTGGTGTGAATGCAGTGACTCAGAGCAGGGAAGCCTTTCAGAGTGGCCCACAGGTGCACAGTGTGTGTGGGCGAGGATGCTTTTGGTTACTGAAAGCCCAACTCAGAATCATTTAGAGCACTGGGGAAATGTATCATCCTGTATGACAACAGATCCTGACATAGCAAGATTGCCGGTGTCTGTGACACAGCTGCTGGGAAGGGAGCAGGATTATGTGATGGCCATACGCTAAGGATGTACCTCCTGAGCCGAGAGAAGCTTTTGTTCCTGGAGGTGTGGATTTCAGTACAAAGTCTGTGCTTGTTCACGGGGACAGGGAAGTGATTGTAGCAGACGCAGCCAGCAGTCTGAGACATCCTGACAATAGGAAGTCCCTCGACTAGATAAGAAAAGCCTGAGTTCTGCCTGAAAACTTGCAATTTCATCTTCCCAGCACCTCAGCTACCCCTTGGCAGGCAGGCCAGCAGAGGGTTGCGTCCAGTGGGCCTCCCCATGCTGACTACTGGCCCTCTTGCTGAGTTTGTTCACGTTTTCAAAGCCTAAAGCATCTTGGCACATACGATGACCATTGCTCATTCCATGCTCTCTCCAGCTGGACGGCTGTGCTGACAGAGCTCAGGAGGAGGGAAAAGGAGCACCTCTGCTGCCAGCTCGACAGAACTCCTGCACGGCCCTCTCTCAGCTGCAGCCTGGGCACCGGGGGTGGGCTATTGGGCCCAGCTGTATTGGGGTGCTGGGGCACCCACTCTCTAAGACACTGGCTGTGGGGCTGTGCTGGGTTCTAGGAAGACAGGGTAGGTTTAGGGTCTCATCAGTTTATAAACTGCTTCCCAGTCCCCCATTCTAGGGTGGAAGCCTTCCTTTGAGCTTTTTCCTTTGTAGGAAGCCCTTATTTTGTTACCCGCTCATTAAGGTGCCTTGTGCTGAAGTGAGAAGAAGGTTGGCTTGCCCCCAGAGAGGTGGTATTTTGGAGCCCCAGTCTGCCATTCCAGATCTGTGGGCCTTGGGCAGGTGACTAACCTTGCCAGCTTCTATACCCTCGTCTGTGCACTGACCCTATGAGGAAGGAAGGAACAACATGGGCAGATGTTGGAGACTTCAGATTCTGTAAAGCATGCATCTATGACCTGGCAGAGCATGCTGCATGTACGGGGCTCTTGTCTTTTTGCAGTCTTCATGGCCTGACACATTGGGGTGCCCTCCTGTGGCGAGCCTGAGGGGTCAGCACAGAGAGGCAGTGTGAGAGCAGTGAGAGCCTGTGTGGAAGCGAACAGCTACATTGTCCTTCAGTCTCGGCTGAGTGGCTTTTATTTAAACCTCTTCTGTATTAGAGTGTCCTACTTTGCAGTACCAAAGAATACCTGTTCATCTGTATTTCTTCTCTTCAGTGAAGAATAGTTTAGACCCCTAAATGCTATCTGATCCTGTAACTTTCTAGGTCTAAGGAACAATTATTTTAAAGGATAAGGATATTGGTTTAAAAGATATAGATAACACTAGCCATTGTGTTGATTGCTTTATAGATACAAACTATAGGTCACAAACTGCTGGCATAAAGCTGATTTCAGCCTGTGGATTTGTGGGTGTATGTATGCTTGGGTTGGCAGCATGTTTTAATTTTATATTTTGAGTTCAAATGATTGTCTATTTGGGAGATCTATATTTTTGACTTTTCTTGAAAGGACAGGTCTGGTAAAGCTATGCCACTGTTCCTTTGTGGCGGGGTGGTGCTGGCCCACCTGCCTGAGCTCTGTGGTTCTGTCCCTGCCTGCAGGGTTCCCTGCCAGTGCCATTTGCCCCCCTGCACTCAGCCTGCTGCACTCACTCACTTCTTATGTCACTGCCTGGCCTGTGTAGGCATTTCAACTTCATTTTCAGCTAGTAGGCATTCTAATATTTGTTGAATGAAACTGTTATTTCTTTCAGTCCTCAGAGCAACCCTTAATTTACAGAGTAGGAAATTGAGACCAAGGGAGTTCTAGTGTTCTGTCTAAGGTTACACAGCTCCCTAATGTCCAAGTAGGTCCTTAAGTCTACTTATTAATATTTGACTCTAAAGCTAGTAGTTTTTCTACTAAATCTCTTAAACGTTTATGGCCCAGACTTTCGAAGTAGCTGACTAGGTATGGATTTTTCTTTAAAGAGGTCCCCCGTTGAGATTTGCTCTGAGCAGGTGTTATCACTAGAAAGTAAGCAAAAGTGATACACTTTAATAATAGTCAAGGCATGGCACATTGACTACTTCCGTCATGTGTGCATTTTTCAAAGTAAAAATGTTTTCACATGTTAGAAATTATTATTTTTTTTACCAAAATAAACTGATAATCTGTGTTCGTCAGCTGTGGCTGCCATAACAAAATGCTGTAGACTGAGTGAGTTAAACAACACATTAATATTCTCACAGTTCTGGAGGCCGGGTTCTGATCAGGGCTCTCTTCCTGGCTTGTAGATGTCTGCCGTCTCACTATCTGCTCATACAACCTCTTCTGTGTGTGTACATAGCTCTATGGTTTCTGTTATGAGGACACTAATCCTCTTGTTCTAGGATCCCACCATCATGACCTCATTTGCCTCATTAATTGCCTCCCCCTTTGCTTCCTTGAGACAGTCTTGCTCTGTCACCCAGGCTGGAATGCGGTGGAATGCAGCTCACTGCAACCTTTGCCTCTCAGGTTCAAGTGATTCTCCTGCCTCAGCCTCCCAAGTAGCTGGAATTACAGGCGCGTGCCACCATGCCCAGCTAATTTTTGTATTTTTAGTAGAGAGCGGGTTTCACCGTGTTGGCTAGGATGGTCTCGAACTCCTGACCTCAGGTGATTCACCTGTCTGGGCCTCGCAGATTGCTGGTATTACAGGCGTGAGCCACCATACCATATGCAGCCACCTCCTTTTAAAAAGAAAAAACGCCGAAGTCTTGCTTTGTCTCCAAGGCTATATAGAGTACAGTGGTAGGATCATAGCTCACTGCAGCCTCCAACTCCTGGGCTTGAGTGATCCTCCTACCTCAGGCCTCCCAAGTAGCTGGGACTGTAGGCATATGCCACCTGGCCTGGCTAATTGAAAAAATATTTTTTTGTAGAGACAGGAGCTCACTTCGTTGCCCAGGCTGGATCTCACTTTGTTGCCCTGGGCTCAAGCAATCCTCCTACCTTGGGCTCCCAGAGTGTCAGGATTACAGGTGTGAACCACCATGCTCGGCCCTTAATTGCATCATATAGGCCCTATCTTGAAATATGTTGGAGAGTTAGGGCTTTATCATTTGAATTTTGGGGGGAACACAGTTCAGTCCATAGCACGAGGTTTTGGGTGACAAGATAATATAGCCTAAGATTTACCTTTTTCTGCTGGGAGAGGTAAAAATGGTAAGTTACCCTCAGTAAATCTGAGGGTTACCTTCAGTATTTCAAATTGTAATTTTGTTTGTATTCCTTCTTTTCGTTCTCTACTACCTTGATGTTATACCCCCATCTTTGCTTACTGAATTAAACATAGGCTCCCCAGTACCAGCTGGCCTTGGTTCCATTTTATATTTAAAAAATGTTTTTCTTCCTACCTTTTTATGTGCAAATTTTTTAACCTACAGAGGAATTGAAAGATTGTATTTACATTAACATTTGTCACATTTGTTTTGTATCTCTGTGTATACACGTATATATGTATAAAGACACATACTTGTTTCTTGAACCATTTGAAAGTAACATGCAGATATAATTTTATACATACATATACATATATAGATATAGATTTTTTTTTTTTTTTTTTTTTTTTTTTTTGAGACAGAGTCTTGCTCTGTTGCCCAGGCTGGAGTGCAGAGACATTTTCTTGGCTCACTGCAGCCTCCGTCTCCTGGGTTCAAGCGATTCTCCTGCCCAGCCTCCTGAGTAGCTGGGATTATAGGTGTGCACTACCACACTGGCTAGTTTTTGTATTTTTAGTAGAGATGGGGTTTCACCATGTTGGCCAGGATGGTCGCTGTCTCCTGACCTTGTGATCTGCCCACTTCGGCCTCCCAAAATGCTGGGATTATAGGCGTGAGCCACCCCACCTGGCCTATAATGATAGTTTTAACCCTAGACATATCGGTGTGTATCGTGTAATGACAAGGATATTTTCTTATATAAACTCATGTCATTTTTCTCACTCAAGAAATTTAACATTGATACAATGATGTATAATGTACAACCCATATTTGAATTTCCCCAGGTTAAAAAAAAATTCACGCTGTCTCTCATACCTTATTTCATATTTGATGCTGCTTTCTTAGTTTGTGTCTGTGTCTGGCCAGACTGGTGTACTTGCTCTTCCTGAAGCATGTGCCATGCATGTCTGCTTTCATGCCTTTGCACGGGCTATGTCTTATTTGGAATCCATCTCATTCCATCTGAACCCGGTGAAATCTTGCCCTTCCAAGCACATTGCAGTGGTTCCTTCTTCATATGGCATCCCTTGACATCCCCGAATGTGATTGCTCCCTTCTTTAAACCGCAGGCTCTTTATGCTCTTGAGTAACGTTTTTGCATCATGCCCTGTAATGAATGTAGAATTTTAGGACTTTAAAAAAATCTCCTTTTTAGGACTAGGAGCTTCTTGAGTATGGGACTTCATATACCCTGTACTACCCATTTTTGTTGCTCATTAAGTATTTAACTTAAATCCAGAGTGTTTTACATGGTATTTTATTTTTAGTATCATTTATTTATTTGTAGTGTTGTTTCTTAATTTGGAAAGATGGTCTGAAAATACTAGTTTTCTGGAATTATCTCAAAGAATGGAAAGAACTAAGGATATGGACTTGACCATGTATATAGGGGTGGGGGTCCCACAGTTTTACTACCCTTTGACATTTTATCAGCAAAGTGAAAACTGTCAAACATGGCTTTATCTGGACAAATGTATATAAGGATTGTATTTACAATTGCACTGGTAAAATGGTGATAAATTGGGATGGTATATGGCCTGTTGTGTCCCAGCAGGGCATGCTGGTGGATGACACAGAGCAGCTGTAAGATCTCTTCTTTTACATCTAGGTTCGAGATGCAGCAATAAACAGCTTAGTGGAAATTTACAGACATGTAGGAGAACGTGTGAGGGCAGATCTCAGTAAAAAAGGATTGCCACAGTCCCGGTGAGTGCAGATTTTTTCATTTCTTCTGCTCTTCTCCTCCATTCTTTTCCAGTTAATATCTTGATTTGCAATACTTTTTCTGTTGTAGTAATTTTATTCAAAGAGTATATGATTAGAGGGTTGGTAGTTGGAGATTTTGTCCAGATCATATATCAGGGGTCCCCTCCCATTCCACTTCCTCAGAAATAAGACTCTCACCCAGACAACTGGCCAGGTTCCATGCCACATACTGATTTTAAAAGCAGTTAGTATTGAAAACTTCAGCACTGTTACAGTTTATATGGTTCTAGATCTATGATTCTGTGTCTATATTTATATAGGTAGCACTTAATATAGTAGGTGCTTAGAATATATTTGAATGAATGAAGCAATCCCAGAATGAAAATTCATAAGTTATAATTTTGGAAGTCATGTTTTAAATGTAGCTTTTCTGTTTGCACGTCATTCTCAATGTGTATAAGCCCATGCAAGATGATCAGTGTCTCATCAGACCCAAGACAACTGGAGTCCACAAAAGTGACTTTGTTATAGTCAAAATTTTAAAAATAATGTAAGGATCAGATATGTATAATTTTAACTGTGATGGAGAAACTTAACACCAAATTAATTGCAAACCTTTCCCCTGGGTTATTCCTTTAAGGGGGAAAGTAATGTAAAAATTCCAGACAGAACTGGAGTGGACTCACAAGGCAGCTTGTCTGAGCCTGTGGTTTTGTCCATGGAAACTCCAGAGGCCTAAAGACATGAAATGACTTTTGAGAGATTATGCAGCTAATAAGAGTCAGAGCTAAGGTCAAAATCCTGTTCTTCTGACTTGCCTTTTTAATTTTCTCCACCCTAGTTCACAAGAGAGTTCATGGAGTACTGGGCATCTGGAAATGGGATGGAATATTGAAATATACAGGAGTCAACTGTCTTGATGTCTCTAAGGCAGATATGACAGCAGTGGGCCCCAGGCCCTCAAGTGGCAGCTCCACAGGCAGACAAGTGGGCTGTGCTTCCTTGAGGTTGAGAGTCATTCCTGATCCAGAATTGCTCTCACCATCTGTGCACAAGATGATTAGATGGGAATAAAACTACTTTCCATGTACTTAACGAAAGATAATCTATGAGAATAGTTTTTTAAAATTCCAGTGTTTTGTGAACCTCAACCTTCTGGTCTTCGAATATATGGTGAGGACACAGGAGGAAGAAGAACTCAACAGCAATACTAAACAATCTCTTAGGGAAAATTGGAGGGCACAGATGAGCAGGGAAGGCATGATATCAAGGGAAGGGACTGTTTAATGATTAAGTCACCATGATTGTTGGGAAAACAGGTCTTGAGAGTGAAACGCTATCTGGCTCTAGGAATGGCCTCATGCCATGCTGTGTTACTTGATGTGGCCCCAGACCATGAATCCACCAATTTACAGTTTCCATATTAACAGGAGGTTTCCTCTGTATTTTTGAAAAGCAACCACAGCAAACTAGCAAATCAGGGAGAAATGACATGGTGAAACTGAGACCTAGAGATGTGAATGCAGGAAAGAGTTAATGCAGCAGGCCTGAGACTGCTGTTCTTAGAAAGGCCTGCTTACAGGCCTGGCCCCTAGAAATGTGGATTTGGGGAGAGTTCCCAACAAGTGGGATAAGAGTGGCTCACTGTGTCAAACTGCACAGCACAATGTGTTTATACCTGCTTTCTTTTTCCTTCTGGGAGTCTGCCATTTTGTTAAGTGCCAGGCAGAGGGTGTTTACATGACCAGCCCCCAGTAAAAACCCTGGCCCCTGAGTCTCTAAGGAGCGTTCCTGATAGAAAGCATCCCACTTGCATTGTTACAGCTTAGTGTTGAGGGGTTACATGTGTCCTGTGTGACCCCACCAGGAGAGACTCCAGGACACTTGTCTGGTATCCTCTGGATTTTACCCCATGCACCTTTTTCCTTTGCTGATTGTGCTTTGTATCTTTCTGCTATAAAAAAAATTGCAGCTGTGAGTATGACTTTGCTGAGTCCAGTGAGTCTTCCTAGTGAACCAGTAAACCTGGGGGTGGTCCTGGAAAACCCCAACACAGTGGGGCCCCAGAGGTCCTGACGCCCTGACGCCAGAGCTGGAGTTAAAGCCACCTGTTTCAGCTTCTCAGTTACATGTTTCTCAGGTTCTTCACCTGACCCCCTCCTTCTTCTCTTTCTTTTTTTTAAAAAAGAAATATTTTAAAAGGTGCTATAAAAGAGCTTGGGCCTCTGAATAGAAATGAGGGTTTCTGCTAGCTCATATTAAAATCCTCCTACAAATTCTCCAAAATGGAGAGGTGGTCATAGGGAAATGGACCCACACCCTTCACATCCATATTATGACACTCTGGTAGACATAAGTGCTTGGAGAATTATGCTGTTTTTTAAAAATCTTACTCTAGTGAGAGAAGCTGAAACTTCAAGTTTCTTTGCATTTACTACAAGACAGTACCTAAGATCTAGTACTCTGAGGGGCAGAGGTTCCAGTTACCACCTTTGTTTTTGTGCCCAAATGGAATGAGGCTTTTAATGGTATCAGAGAACTTCAATGTCTGCTATATGTGGCTCCACATGGATGACTGGGTTACTTGAATAATCTAGACTTCTCTTGCATCATAACAGATTTTTTGGTAATTTTGAGAGCATAGTAGATTTTCAACTTAGCAAGTTTCCATAGGACTATTGCAGTATTGTAAAATTTGCTTAATGCTTTCCAAAACTTGGATTTAGTCCTCAAATAAAAATGTCCTCGTAAGAGTTTGTTCATCAAGAGAGTACTTTGAGAAGAAAAATTATATTTCTGAGAAGTACGTGGTGAAGAAAATGCCTTACTGAGATCACCTACATGGCTTAACAAGAGTAGTAATCTCATTCAAGCAGCCATTTTCTTTGTCCATTTCACAGTTGAGAAAAGAGACCTATGCAATCAGCTTCACTTTGGAGGAGTTGGAATTAGGGTTTGGGGCCATTTGTTGTTATTTCAGTCTTCTCATCTTGTGGCCAAAATCATCTCGAGCCAGATAATAAGGTGGAGGTAGTCAACAAAATCTTCAAGTTAGCGGGTATCCCTACCCACGTGCGATCTCAGAGTAGTTGAGGCCCTAAAGGTATAGAATATTTGACCATTTAACATGGTTTTTACATGTATTATTATCATAGTTCATATATATATGTTCAGAAAATAAATAACTTCTAGCTGTCTATCCTAACATATCGTGTAGTTGTGTGATACTCTGTGAGGCATACCTGACAACTTAAAATGTAACTCTGTTACTTACTTTCATAGACTTTCAGCATACCTTGACATTCGCTCTCATCCCATTGAATCTTCCAGAAAATATTTTTAGTCAGTATCACATATTTTAGTTTAGAGAGTGTTTGGAAAAAGGTCACTGGTGTTAAATTTCCTCTGGGATCATCATTCGGGAACCAGGCTTCTAAAAAGCAGTAACTTTAAACCTAAAGATAATTTAACTTACAGAGAGGGCCGAGATACAGGTGATTTGATTCATTATAATTATTTGGTAGCTTACATTATGAACTTACTTTAAAAAAAAAATTTCATAATATTTGCTCATTTGCTATGTAGTTTAAAATTTATAAACAATCATCAGGTTTTATTACTTAATGATTGTTTCGGAAAGGGAAAATTTGTACTTTTAAATTTTTAACTTGCTTGCTAAAGCTTTAGTGTTAGAGAGAACCCAAGGTGAAAGCAGGTGATAAATGTGTGGAACCAGTAAGTCTCCCAGCCTCTACTGACTGGCTCTGTGTTTTTAGGGCATGCTTCCCAGTGCTCTTAAAGGTGTTTGACACCTCTGTCTTCCTTTTTCCTTCTGGCTTATTCAGAGTGTCAGAGTCAGCCAGAGGGACATTAGAGCCTTCTGGGGTCTTTCTTGGGCTTGTGCATGTGCAAAGCCTTGCACATATGCATGACCTCCCAGGTTCCCAAGAGTATGCCAGTGTTTTCAAAGTTTGCTGTGGACCTCCTAATTTCTAGCTTTTTTCCCCCTATTTTTGGTCAGCTTCTTTGCCCCAGTTGTTACTGCTGTCTCAGGTATCTGCTGTATTAAACAGCTGTCACTGGCTAGTTTTGATCATTACCTCGGGGAAAAGGCCTCTAATGTTGAACAAGCTCTAAGTCAGGTCCAATAAAGACAAGTCCTGCAAATGGGCTTACAGGGATGTGCCAGATAGGTGGAATGATAAGCTCTTTGGGAATGAGGACTTTTAGGGAGCTTCAGACTTGTTCAGCTCTTTCTAGTGGCTGCCAGGCTGCTGATTTTCACACTTAACCATAATGATGAGACTGTTGGTTTTCAGCTATTGGATTAAAGATATAGGCACAACAGAACAATGAAAAATCTTGCTGTTCTTACGAAGATTCAGCCATTTTTCTTGAAGAACTACTCAGATTGTTATAAGCTGCCTTTGTTCAATTTACAAGATTTTGTTTTTTTCTTGTGATAGTGAGTTCTCATGAGAATTTACAAAGGTTTTAAAAAGTTGATAGGACAGTGTTTGCCAAAGTTCTCTTTGCTTCTTTGAAGCAGATTTTCTAGGGTCCTCACTTTGCCATTTTAAAGAGCTCCTCTCTTGTTTTATGATCACAATATTTTATGTCTTTGAAAGCACTAATGACATATTTTTAAAACTTTTCTTTTCTCTTCAGAATCTCTTCTGTCTTCCAAGTTGGGATTTTAAAGCATGTGTTTATGTTGGTTTCTCTTTTTCATGCTAGAAGCTCTGAGTATATGGATGCAGTTTATTGACTGAGATTGCTGTGATTATTTGCTTCTAGGAAATTATTTAAAATTTCTATATAAAATTTTCTAGGAAGAAACTAATTTGAACTAAATTTTATTATAAAATAAATTCTAATTGGATTGAAGACTTTCACATGGAAATTTAAATTCAGAAAAAAGTAGAGGAAGATGGTGGTTATTTGTCAAACCAGTAAGTAAATTTATTTTAAATGGAAATCCGGAAATTTAAAATAAAACAATTTGGTGGCTTCAGAGGGTAATCATTAGTTATATATTCAATGTCCTTGAATATATAAAGCTCATCCTTTTATAAAGATTTGTGTGAATCAATAGTTTCCAAGAGAGACATTTTATATTTTTGTGCTCAGAGCTAGCAAACAAAAACCAGTCCTTTCATTCCTAAGGAATGCTTTGTTGGTGTTAGAGTGTCTCTTTAGGTGGTAACCTTGATGGGAGCTGTTATAACAGCATTAATGAGCAGAGAACAAGGGAGCTAGTGAGACAGAAGTGTGAAAGCGGAGGGAGTTCTAAATGAAGATGCACATACCAATAATAGTTATGTTTACAGTGTTCTCATACCTAGTTGTTCATGCCTACCAGGTTGTGGGTAATGTGGCCACGGTGAGAATGTCTTACCACTGAGAAAGAATCCATGGACTTGTACACAGTTGCCATCTATAATGGTGAATACTCTCCCAGGAATGAAAGAAATACTTGTCCTCTTCCGGTAATTTCAGGAACAACTAGACTAGAGGTATATCTTGGCTCCAACTTGCAAACTTGCAGGCATGCTCACATCAGAGGGTGTGTTTGTGACACAATAAAGTAGTGCCTTAGTGAGGGCATGCCTGGCAACCCGTGTCATGATATTATTTCTGAGTTTGTCAAACCATTGGAGATCTTTGTTACTTTTAAAAAGGGAAGGTAATAGAAACATCCTAAGAAACACAATCATGTAAGGCATCTTTCCAGTTCTTTAGTAACCGCTGGATTTGAAAGTGAGTTATATTTTACTTAATATCTGGTCCTGAGATGGCAGTTGGCATTTATTTGATCTCAGTTTTAACTAATGGGTAGTGGCTGCCTGGAATAGTTTTGAGAAGGATTCTGAGGGAACATCTGGACTTGGTGGAAAGAAGGCTTGAAAAGATTGTTGGTGTCTCCTACGCAATGGGGAGGGGCAGTGCATCAGGCTGGTTCATCCCCTTCATTTGCTGATGTGTAATTTTGGCCTCCCTGTTACTTAGAGCTTAAGCTCCAGAGAGTAAGAACTCACTAGCTCGGTGCAGGGCACATAATGGGCACTCAGGTATTTTTCAGTGAATGAACAAATGAACAAACACCAGAGTTTGTGTGAATACTGCAGTTTTCCAGAGTAAGGAGTTAGGTTCCAGGTGTCTAACATAGTGTTGTAACTCTCCTGAGTGAGCGTCCTCATGGCATACATGGTATTTGGTACAAATACAAAAATAATGCAGCTCCCATCTCTGCCCCTAAGGAGCTTCCATTCTACGTGAGAAGAAAAGACGAACATATTTGAAATGATTGGAGCTGGCAGGATAGGATGGTGTGATAAAAAGCACTAAAATGTCCCTAAAATTGAATGCACAGATTGCTTGGGAATCTCAACCTTTATACTTACTCTAATATACCTGTGTTTTGCTTGAGAAAGTCTCTTTTTTCTTAACTTTTTCTACTAGGTAAGATCGCATTCTCCCACCTTTTCGTTTCATTTTTGATGTCATTAGGATGGAATATTTAGACTGGGTGAGGAATTTTGCATTAATTTAAATGCCCAGGTGAAATGATCCATTAATAGAAAGTCAATGTAATGTAGACTTTTTAAAGCTTAAGATTATCCAGTCACAGCATTTTTTTCTGGAGAAATTATTTATAGCATTTTTGGATTAAGCATGAGTCACAGCAGTTAGCACAAGCCTTTGTAGTGTACTATTAGTGCATTCTGAAAAGCTTTATCCTAAGTAACTGATAGTCTGTGGTAAGAAAGAAATAGGAGAAACACACAAATGTATACATTTGTGTAGAGTAGTCAGTTTAATATAATGTCTGGGAGCAGGGGCTCTGGATGACTACTCGCAGGGCTAGAATCTCCACCCCACACCTGTGTCACCTCAAGGAGATTAAGCGAGATCTTTCAGATAGACTTCTAGGCCCATTCTTTACCCTTGGTAAGTGCCCAGTTATTGTTGACTATTGTTCATGTTATTGATTTAGTCACTGTGTTTTGTTATTAGGTAGGTCTGTGTCATTGGTTTTTTTTTTTTAGGGGGAGTGGTGGAGATCAACTTCACATTAGGGTTTTAATATTAATGGCTATGGAGCAGTGATGATCAATAGTTTGTTTATATTTTTGCTTTCATACAGGTTGAATGTAATTTTTACGAAATTTGATGAAGTCCAGAAATCTGGAAACATGATCCAATCTGCAAATGGTGAGTAGAAAATGTAATTGCTATTTTTGTGTTTTAGTTTTACATCTGTAACATTTATGTTATATGTGAACAGCTGAATTAGGTAATTGAGCAAGAGTTTCTAAGTCTTAAAACTTAACTTTCATTCACCTACTTTTCCAGGCCAGAAACAATGGCGTGAATCACCGACTTTCTTTCATAACCTGTACTGAATTTATTAACTAATCCTGTTGGCTTTACTTTTAAAACTGCATCCTGAATCCCTGTAATTCTCATCACTGCTGCTGTCTTCCTAACGCAAGCTGTCATGGGATTTTACCTGGGCTCTTGTGGTTCCCTCCTGAACAGTATCTCTTCTTCTACTGTTTCCCCATGCCTAAAGTCTGTTTGTCATATAGCAACTAGAATAATCTTTTTAGAACATAAGTCAGGTGATGTTAATCTTCTTCCAAAACCTCCAGAGGCTTCCCGTCACACCCAGGCTACAATTCAGTGACTCACCATGGCCCACTGGGCCTTGCATGATCTGGCACCCACCACCATTCTGATGTCATTTGAATTATTCTTTGTGAAAGTTCTCTTTGCTCTAGCCACATTGACCTCCTTGTTAAGTTTGAACATTCTGAGCATCTTCTGCTTCAGGACCTCTGTGCTTATGATTCCTTCTGCTTGAAGCATTCACTCTCTGGGTATCATTATGGCCTCCTCCCTTATTCCATGAAGCTCTCACTTCATACAGTATCACTGAATTACTGAGGCCACTGGAATAGCACATCCAGGGTTCTAAGGGAAAGCTCTGTGCCCTCACCCTGCTTGAGTTTTCTTCCTAGCATGTATCACCAGAAAAATATGTGTTTACTCATGAGAGCAGGAACTTTACTTTATTCCCTTTATTGTTCTTTTTGTTTTTTCTCAATGAGCATAAGTTCAGTGCCTTGAAGAGTCCCTTGTGATAGGTGTGCAGTAAGTATTGTTGAATAATGATTGTGTCCAGTTCCTGTATTCCTTTCACTACGTTGTGATGATATGTGAGGACTAGTGGGTAATTCTTGTGATTCCAGAAGGAGAGGAAAAGATAGGAGTGAATTACTCCTATATGAAGGAAAAAAACACAAAAAGTTAATTGCTGAGAATAACTTTTTCTAACCTTGGATACCTCGTTGTATCATAGCTAAGCTATTTTAGAATTTTTAAGTATCTTAGTTACAACCGGTACTGAATTCATTAACTAATCCTGTTGGGTTTACTTTTAAAACTGTATCTCGAGTCCCAGTAATTCTCATCACTACTACTGTCTTACTAGTACAAGGCTTCACATGTTGAATATCTTGAGACTGTAAAGTCTGAGGGCTTTTCCTCAAAGTAACTAAAGTATATAAAAGTATATAAGGGCAGAGCACGTAACAGAATGCAAGCCTTTTGACTCATACTCTGCTGTGTACCTATTATTATTCCAGAGAAGTTTTTCTTTGAACAGCATGTTTTCTATATAAAATGCCTAAAGTGATCTAAAAAATGCTTTCATTAATCTCTTTATTTCTTTTTCATAGATTGTAAAAAATGTAAAAAATAATAGAAAATGAATATCATAATTTAGCTATTACCATCAAAAATCATTTTTCACTACATTTTCTTATATTTCATCATCTTATAATTGTATAATTTGTATATAATTTTAATCATGGTGTAATTTTCTCTACTTTACCCAGTATATTAGTACATACTTTTATATGTACTTCTAAAAACATACCATTGGCAGAGCTGGGCCAGAATTCTGGCATTCGAGTAGTGCACTTGTGATGAGTGGGGTTGCTGGGTGTCCACAGGCAGGTCTTCACAAACAGTTAATTGCCAGACATATGATTTTACTTTTGTGTGGGTGTATTTGTGTAGTTGATGTGGCTTCTCAGCTTAAAAATTGTTGGCACTAGGACACAACATGCTGGGCAAGTAAGTAAAAGCAGTGGCAGGAAAGTGAGTCTGTGCTTTGTAAGCCAGTATTACAGCTATGAAACAGAATCTCATTATAGTGCTGGCACTGGGGAGAAAGACGTTGGGGATCTTGCCTAAAAGATTGTACATATGCTCTATGGGTTCCAGTGATGTGACACGTAAGATTTTATCCTCAGGAATGCTAAAACTGTGTGGCATTGGGTATATCACAAGTAGCCTTTTATTGTAAATGGCTAGGTGCAAATATTGCCCCCAGATTCCCTTTATGTGTGTGTGCGTCTGCGCGCACACAGGGGCAGGGTTGAGGCTGGAAACAGTTCTTTTAGACATCTGTGTTAAAAATAGCAAATGGTAAGGAATCCTTAACAGAATTTTCTTGGAGGCTTATAATTTCAGCTTTTGGCTTTATATATGTAGTATTACTGTTTTAATTGTTAGGGCCAAAATATTTAAGGAAACTAATATAAAGCCATATGTGTAAAATTATAGAATTTCTAACCTGAGTGATTTTCATCTCTTTACACAATTTTGAGAGACCAGTAAAATGTTCAATTGCTTTCAAAAGACAAACCACCTAATTTCCTTCATTGAACTTTTCTGTCATTGAACATTGAGATGGCATAGAGAAACTGCAGTAGTGATAGAATAAAACCTGTCTCCCTCTTTATCTAAGTTTCGCTTTCTTGTCCCTCCCTCCCTCCCTCCATTCTTTCCTTCCTCCTGCCTTCTCTTTTTTTCTTCTCTTCTCTTCTCTCCTCTCCTCTTCTCTCCTCTTCCTCTCTTCTCTCCCCTCTCCCCTCTCCCCTCTCCCCCTTCTTTTCTTTTTTCTTTTCTTTCTCTCTCTCTCTTCTTCTTTCCTTTTCCTTTCTTTTCTTTTTTCTCATTCTCTTTCTTCATTTTTTTTTAACACAACTCTCAGTGTAATTCTTTGATCTCTTCTGAACTTCAAACCTTGGACTATTCCACTTTCTCTAAATCCATCCATCCTCTCCTTTCTCCGTTTCATACCTTACATAGCTTAGATTATAGCTTTTCTGAACTTAATAGTTGTAGAAGTTTTTTGTAGCCTTTGTGGGGTTTTCTACATAAACAGTTTTGTCATCTGCAAATAGGAACAGTTTTATCTCTTTCAGATAGATATGCTTTTAATTTCTTTATCTTGTCTTATTGCACTGGCTAGAACTTCTAGTACTATGTAAAATAAGTGTGGTGAAACAAACATCTTTTTTTGGTTCCCATCTTAGGTGCTAAGTATGGTGTTAGCTGTAGGATTTTTGTAGACGTTCTTTATCAAAATGAGGTAGTTTTCTATATCTTTCTATTTATCTTATCTGAGTGTTTTTTTTTTTTTTTTCTTTTTTTCCCAGAGCAGGAATGGAAGTTTATTTAAAAAGGCTTTAGAACAGGAAAGAAAGGAAGGTATGCTTGGGAGAGACCCAGGAGGGCACAGTTGAAGGTTCGAAAAAGAAAGTCAAGTGTCCTTATCTGAGTTTTATCACAAGTAGGTGTTAGGCCTTTTGTGAAGTTATCAGTATATTTAAAAAATTGAGATACATTCTTCTTCTAGCTGCAGTACATTTAAAAATTTAAAATATATATAATTCACTATTGATATTTCACTTTTTAAAGTGTATGCTTTAGTTTTTTTTTTTTTTTAATATTCACAAAGTGTGCAACTATTACCACTATTTAAATCTAAAATATTTCATCACTCCCACCTCCCATTCCCATTAGCACTTACTCCCTATTCCCCTGTCCCTCCAGTTTCTGGCATCCTATTTTCTGTCTGTGTGGATTTGCCTATTCATGACATTTTGTGTAACTGGCATCATATAAATATTTGGCCTTTGTGTCTGATGGCTTTCATTTAGCATAGTGTTTTCAAGATTCACTCATAGTGTAGCATGTATCAGAAGTTCATTTCTTTTTATGGCTGAACAAGATTCCATTGTGGGAGTACATTGCATTTTATTTGTCCATCTGTCTGTTGATGGACATTTGAGATTGTTCCACTTTGTGGCTATTGTGAAGAATGAGTCTATGAACATTGATGTAAAAGATTTCATGTGGATATGTATTTTCATTCTCTTGGCTGTACACGTTGCAGTAGAATTGCTGGGTGTACGTTTAACTTTTTGAGTACCTGCTCAAACACAGTAAACACACAGTTTTCCAATTTTGCAGCACTATTTTACATTCTTAACAGCAGCCCGTGAGAGTTTGCAGTTTCTCCACATCCTTGCCAACAGTTGTTATTGTCTCTTTTTCATTATAGTCACCATGGTGGGTGTAAAGTGGTATCTCATTGTGGTATTGATTTGCTTTACCCTGATAAGTAATGGTATTGAACATCATTTTCATGGGCATATTACCCATTTATATACCTTCTCTGGAGAAGTGTCTATTCAAATAAATCTTCTGCTGATTTTCTAAAGGTGTTAATTGCCTATTTATTGTTGAGTTATAAGAGGTTTTTAGATGTGCTACATACCTGACTCTTAACAGATGTGATTTATTTGCAAATATTTTCTCCCATTCTGTGGGTTTTCTTTTCACTTTCTGGATAGTGTCACTTGAGAGATAAAGTGTTAAATTTTGATGAAGTCCAATTTATCTGTTTTCTTTTGTCATACATAGGAAACTATTGCATATTTTTGGCCAGGTGCAGTGGCTCCCAACTGTAATCTCAGCACTTTGGGAGGCTGAGGTGGGCAGATTATCTGAGATCAGGAGTTTGAGACCAGCCTGGCCAACACAGTGAAAGTCCATCACTACAAAAATACAAAAATTAGCTGGGTGTGGTGGTGCACGCCTGTAGTCCCAGCTGCTGGGTGGTAGGGGTGGGGGGTGGTCCTGAGGTAGGAGGATGGTGGGGTTTCGGGGAGGGGCAGTGGCCCTGAGGTGGGAGAATTGCTTGAACTTGGGAGGCGAAGGTTTCAGTGAGCCAAGATCATGTCACTGCACTCCAGCCAGCCTTGGTGACAGAGCGAGATTCCGCCTTAGAAAAAATGAAAAGAAAAAACCATTGTCTATTTTTACCACCGTAAAAAGAAAGAAAAGAGGCCAGG